AAAGTCAAGCAGCATCCGATATTGGCATGACAGTTGTCCGAATTGTGGCTTGATAGCAAATCAAGCTTTCAAAATAATGGTCAAACGGTACACACATCGACAATCGCTCAAGTTCAAAGACACGTCTCAATAATAGCGTATATGAACACCCCCTTCTACAAGACACGCAAAAACTCTCCGGCGCACAGGAAAGAAAGTCAGTCGTCTGATGACATCACGTGGGATACATCGCCATTCTTCTTGAAGGGCCTTGATCAGTTTTTGTCGGTTGGCTGAATCATGTGGTCGCCGTCGAACGCGACGATCCATGACATCCAAGAGGTCTTCTGGACATGGTTTGGGAGCGTACAGGCTACAGCATAACGTTGACGTTGTTAGCTGCAAAGACGTAAGAAGTACGGGCTGTATTTGGTCTGGCGTTGTCATGCTGATAAAGGACCCCACGTGCAAGCACGTGTAGAAATGGTAAGACAGTAGCGCGAGGAATGTCATCGATGTAACGCTAAGCTGTCGAATTTCCGTTAACGATGACCCGTGGTGCTCTCTACTGCCAACAAATTCCTCCCCACACCATAACACCCTCCCAACCAAACGGCATGCCCATCTGAATGCAACATGCCTCGTTCGTTCTCCCCTTCGGTGGTAACCACGCTGTGATCCATCTGCTCTTAACAGACAGAACCGGCTTTCATCAGTGAAGACGACGCTCTGCCAGTCACGTCACTGCCAACGACGTACAGTCCTGGCCGATCTCAATCTCTGACGACGATGTTGCGCTGTCAATAACTGTCCTCTGTTTATTGAGCCCTCAGTCGCCTGGCCATTGTCTGTCGTCTAACCATATATCCCGAGACACTGTCACTGTCAGGAATCGATTCCAGATATCCAAAGAAAGCAAAAACCGGTTTTCGTTGGACAAAGTTTCCCTGAATCTGCCTGTTCCTGGCCTGTCAGATGTATACCCGGTCTGTCTGTAACATTGCATCAGGTTAGTTACCGCAGGACGAGGGCAACCAAAAGATCCGATCCAATCTGTATCGTACCAAGGGCCCGCTCGTGGTGATCGGGTCTCAGTCGTGACATTTCTGTGGTGATTTATGTTATCAGAATGATGTTATGTTATGAGTGTCTGACATGCCGTTCGTAGGATTTATATTCCCTTATTTCACGTGTACTTTCGGCTGAACGAGCTGCACTTGTTATTCACTTTCTCCCGTTTTCATCAAATTTATCCTGATGTTGACATGTGTCACTTTCTGCATAGGACATTGCTGTGTTTGGACGATGTGATTTGCATTAATTTATTATGACTTTGTGTTTTTGAATTAATCCAATTTCGTTTTTAATGTGCTAAAATTTCTTTTGGCCTTCAGTTTATATTCGCCTTTTGTTAAGACACTGCTCGACCAAATACCCCAAACCCAAACCCTCCTTAAAGAAATTATATAAAAGGAATCAATAAAGAAAATAAGGAGGTTGATTGTAAGGATCAATAACGGTTTTTGAAAACACCATTTTCCATTTTTGCACGGGAGATTTTACTCCTATTTTCGCTTAAATGTTTAATATGACAAGTTTAACTGCATTAAAAAATCGTGGCGTGGACATGTATCACAGAGGGTTGTGTTGTTTTGACAATTTGTTTTGCACTGATTTACTTTCAACTACTGTTTTTAATTTTTGGCAATTTCGTTTTTGTAAGTGGCAAAGTTCTTCCGGTCATCAGTTCAATTCTCACTTGTCTTGTGAAGTGATGGTGCAACTATAGATTACAGATTCCTTCATCATTTGATGTGATATTTTTGTTTTGACCAGTTCATTGTGTTTTTTGTGTGTCAGTAGACAATTCAGTAGACTTTTTTATGCGTGGAAAAGTATGAAATAGAGTTCGACAGCCTATCATTAAACAATACTATATTGACGACTGTTGAAACTCACTGTGTTAAATGTTAGCTAAACAATAGAGCACTCGTTCATGAATATAAAATGAATACATTCAGAGGGGAGGCACCGTGACATCATTGTGAACCTTAGAGAATCCCGAATTATTGGTGTTGATTAAATGTAATGGATTTGTTTTGACATGATATTATCATCTGTCTATGATAGTGTCACCTTTTCGCACATTCATTTTGTGCCGTTGTAATAAACATTTCAATTCGTCAGTACTGATTTCCTTTTGGGTTGAGTTTTCGTTGATGTAATAGGTATCATATTTCAAACACATACAAGTATATATACTGTGATGTAATCATCGGAAATAGCCGCTTTGTACACAATGCAAAAGTAGGAAAAGTGTTTAAGATAACAATCTTATCAATAGTTCTGTTTCGGAACTCATGTGATTTCCTCCCATAATAAGGAAGTGACATAATATTATTATAGAGAACAATATACACAGGAACGTGAAACTTCAGTTAATACATATGAACATATCATTACTGGACGGAGGAAATAACGTTAAATTACCGAGATGAGCTGGCTTTTCGATGTGATAGTCAGTTTGAGCCTAATTCCCATTTACAATTGGCAGGTGCCAACTGGATATGATAAAGGCTTTACGGTGTGGTTGATCAGTTGCATTCAGTTTTAGAGTAAATTTTTTAGTGATATTCAAAGGTTGGACACATGGCATACTTAATCACAAATGCTTGACCAAAATTATTTTTAAAAAAAAGAAGAAATAGCGGAAAACAGAGACGAGAAAAAAACGACAGGCAAAATCGTTCCCCGAAACGAACAAATCCGCTACTGAGGGGATTCCGTTACTGGGGTTAAAACAAGTTTTCTGTCTTTGAAACGCCGAGCAATTTCAACGATCGACCGACGCCCGGTGTGCCTGCGTCTTTGTTGATACATTATATATTGGTGCTGTTGCTCGTCCATTTGATTACCATGTCCACAACTTATATCACCTCAGTAACAACACTCAGGATGTCTTCAGTTGTTTACTCAGGTTTTTAATCACTGACATGATTAATTGTGTAGAATAGAGCCGGGTGCAGCTGGTGTTTTATTAGTTAAACAGGATGTTAATAATATAACGCTACTTACCGACACTGCTTCAGTGAAATAGCATGAAAACGCTTTGCAGACCATTGTGACGCCATGCGATATCACGGTGTCACTTTGAAATGACATTATCATCACATATGACTCGGAATCAAGCGAACTGTTTTGTTTACTCTTAAAACTCTGGTTATTACTGTTCTCAAAATAAAAACGTTGGAAGAACTATTTTTTATTATTTTAGATGACAAAGGCACGAATGGCAAGCAAGACTAAAAACCACGAAAGATAACATGGCATGTAGTCAATAATTTAAGGTTTAATATTATCAATATGAGACATGCCTTCATGATCGGTCACACATACACGGCATGGCATGGTGCGAATCAGTCTCCCATTTTGAGGGATTCTTGTCCACTCCTCTTGCAGCAGCTGCCCCGCTAACGTAGCGGTCGGCCTTTGCCGTCGGCGTATACGTCTCCTGATCATGTCCGAAACATACTGGATGCCCAACCCGAAATCTGACACATGGCTTTGCGTTGACGTTCGCATGACGTATCTTTGGACGCTTCCAGACACGTCAACGCTTTTCCTAAAAGTCCAGAGTGAATTTGGTCTCGCCGGACAAGATATCAGGAAATCATCAGCGAATTCGCCAGTTTCTACACTCTAAAGACCATGGGCGTCTGACTGGAAGCGTCGACTTGTTAACGGTGATACATCACGTGTTCACCGAGCATACAGATTAGCGAGGAGAGTTCAGCTGCATAGAAATATGTACATTGTTTCAATACGTCACACTGTGAAACTGACAAACCCGCTGCAGACACCAATTCGTGACATTACTTTTCCTAACCCTGAGAAGTGGGTGAGGGAGAGAGCATGGTTTAATCATGGCTTTCATAACCCTGATTAATTGTTACTGAATAACAGTATACTAATACATTCCTACATGATGGGAATATAACTGCGATGTTTCAAAAGTGCACTCATCTACCTCGGAAGTAAATGATAATATTGAAAATTACTTCCTTTTTCACCAATGACTTTAGTGTTTTGTCATAATTTAACTCACATATCAACACATACCGTGCTCTTAGCAGGCAGGTAAGCTGGATAAATTGTGCAATATATATGTGCTTTTCATAGCCCATATTACGGAGACCCTAAGACAATAGTGTTGTGCATACTATGGATATGTCCGGTCGTCATTTCTAAGATTTCAATATTACCTTTCAGGACAGCACAAGGATTACTTTTTACTTAGAATACAGCTTGTGACAGAGCAATGGTAATGGGATGAAGTGAAGTATTCTACAGAATCAAGACCATGACTGTGTGTCTTAACGTGGCAACATGGTTTACTCTGTGCCGTGTGCTGATTCTTTCAGGTTGGTTGTAAAATATTTCATTAAAATGTATTGTTGTATGTGATGAGGAATAGTGTTAACAATGAATCCTGAACGGGTGATGGAACGAACGCCTTGCGTTCATTTAGCTACAAATACAAGGTAGATTATTAATTGTTACCATATTAATGGAATATATATATACAAATATTTTGAAACAGAGAAGCTGTTCATAATGTTTTACATCACACAATAATTTAATATCCTCATATTATTATTAATATTAATAATATTATCATAACTTCACCTTAAAATTCCATGGTAGCCACAATACCATATATGTAGATTTGAAATAATTAGACACTTCATTTAATTAACGTTTTTTTTCTCCCAGTGACCTCCACTGACCTTGACCTGACTGGAGATAATATTCCCGTAGCTGAGGGAGCTGTGCTAACACTTTCCTGCAGCAGAACAGCCAATAAAGTCCCACCGTTAACGGCAGTAAAATGGCATAGAAACACAGAGGAGATATTGCAAACGCTTCATAGAGGAGACCCCCATTATACCACAAACACTTCTGGATATGATGAAGTCTCAGGACGTATTGGAGTGATCACAAACCAACAAACACACAAGGTTATGCTACAGATCAACGCTCGCCTGGATGACGGGTCTGTGTGGAGATGTGGAGTGGTTGACTTCGTCAGCAACAACCTGACTGTTGAAGTCCTCATACCCACAACAGGTATGTACAGCAGAGTGACTTTACACTTCAGTAAAATGTAAAACATTGTGTGTTGGAGCCCTGCCCAAGATATAAATGATCCTTCTATGAATTAGACGAACTGACCCTGTGATAACAACAGCGGGCATAGTAATACACATTTATCTAAGAAAAAATGTCCTGTTGGCGATATGAAAAAGTGGTAATTATCTCCAGCAATAGCCACATTCCCTGCATAACAAGAAGATTCACGTGTCTTGTCAAGTTGTATATACACATTGTCTTTTGACACACGACGTTTAATACACCGATGCTCTACGAGGAGATATAAACGTTGATCGGCGACAGTTGAAATATACTCTTAACACAAGTAGGGGATCATGAACTATAACTGTTAATAAGTATCGCTGTGCACGAATTGCCAATGCTCACCTCCAGCAGCACAACAGCTATAGAATACCATGGCCAGCAATGAGCCTAACCGTTTCCCCCATTGAACACGTCAGGGACATGATTCGGAGACGTGTGTGTCAACGTCATAGCTCGCCGACCACGTTGGCTGAACGAACGCTGCAAGAGGAGTGGGGCAGATTCCCTCAAGTCGGCACGGGGAGACCCATACGCTGCATGCCTCGTCGTGGCAGGACTGTTTAACAAACCTTTGCTAAACTACGAACTTCCGTTCGAAAAACATCAACTCCGAAATTTCCAATCTTGCCCCTATCACCCTTGAAGATCGTTGGCGGTCATACCATCCAAGGTCATACTTCACTACCGGTTGTAATGTGTTTCCAATTCGTTCATTATCATTATACAATTACTATAAACTTATATGTCTTAACGTTAGGACACTTTAAGTTATTTCTGAGCACCCCTTACCTTTTCAAGAGTATATTTGATGTCAAAAATAAATATTCTATTTATCATAAAAACTTAAATTAAATTAAATTAAAATTCCAACTTTTTAACTTTGCAAACAGTAATAACCAGCGCCCTTGGTGTAGAAAAGAATAGCTAACCAGCTTCAGTTTCACGGCGATCAGTGATGTCATTTGATTGTGACATCATTGTAAGTGATGACATCACAATGTTCTACTATGGTTCTACTGGCGGTGGGAGCCAATTGCACTATGTTGATAATTTTAGTTTATATTCTAAACAGATCAGAATTTCGATACTAAATATATTGGACACAGTACTAATACAGCGTAACGTGGTGTTGTAACCGTAGCAGATGCCTAAAGATTAACATTGACGATTATCACTGGAGATTATCGCACGTTGTATTTTCAGTTGCAACACCTGGGAATGGACACACACCTGAAAACAAGTTGGTCACCACTGCTGCACGGAATGGCTCTACTTCAACAGGTGTCCATGTTTGTCAATTTTATACATGAACACCCCATTTTAATGACTCAAGCATTTTCAATTGCAATGCTTAAATGACGTTAAATAGTTTATATGTCAAATATTTAGCCAGCCAATTGAAACACTGAAAACAATGTTTTTGTTTAGCAAGTTTGCTTCATGTTCAGTTTCACAACTGGTGCTTCTGTGTGTTTCAGATAAATCACCTTCTGGTATCCCCAATGTCTACGCTATAGTTGGGTCTAGTGCAGGGACAGCCATCGTTTGTTTCCTAATTGTTTTCGCAGTCATCGGCATCAAACACATTGCTGGTAAGCAGGACACGTAAAAATGTATGAACAGATGACTTATCGTACTGATTACTTTTGTTAGCACCATAGAATACTCGTGGGTAAAAGAGGTAAACGTCAGAGACTTGCATTACCTCGGGCCTTCCTCTCACATCAAACTACTTTTACTGAACAAAACAGTTTAAAACGGCGTTAAACCACCCGCGCCTTCTAATAATATTAGTTTTGTATTTAAAAAGCCACATACATTGGAGAAGTAACGTTATTAAATCTTCATGCCTAGGTATTATGTATGCACTTTTGAATGATACTGAATGGTCTCTACTTTAGAGTTTGATGACAGCAAACTATGTGCCTATGAGACGACGTAGACACTAGACTACGTTGTGTCCGAGTCTGAAGAATTAAAGTCATTTTAATATGATACCTACATGTACCCTACCCTGCGTTTAATACAGACACGTCTTCAAATAATGGTATTCTCATCAACACTGACGTGTTTTCCTCTCCATAACTATGCTCCATCAACGAAGTCCATCGTAGACCTTTTCGGACAACCGCTCGAGATAACTTTTCTTTACTGAATGTTCCTGTTTCAGGTTCAAGGGAGCAGGATATGAATACAATCAATTCTGATCCAGGCACTTCGGGTTTGATTCCCGACGACATCGGGTCAGATGTCAACGTCCAATATAGCAATATCGACATAATCACTGGAGCCACAGGGACAGATGTGAACAGCCAGTACAGTAATAGCAGTGTCATCACCGGGACCACCAGGTCAGATGTGAACAACCAGTACAGTAATAGCAGTGTCATCACCGGAACCACCAGGTCAGATGTGAACAACCAGTACAGTAATAGCAGTGACATCACCGGAACTACCAGGTCAGATGTGAACAACCAGTCCAGTAATAGCAATGTCATCACCGGAACCACCAGGTCAGATGTGAACAACCAGTACAGTAATAGCAATGTCATCACCGGAACCACCAGGTCAGATGTGAACAACCAGTAAAGTAATAGCAGTGACATCACCGGAACCACCAGGTCAGATGTGAACAACCAGTCCAGTACTAGCAGTGTCATCACCGGAACCATCAGGTCAGATGTGAACAACCAGTACAGTGATAGCACTGACATCACCGGAACTACCAGGTCAGATGTGAACAACCAGTACAGTAATAGCAATGTCATCACCGGAACCACCAGGTCAGATGTGAACAACCAGTACAGTAATAGCAGTGTCATCACCGGAACCATCAGGTCAGATGTGAACAACCAGTACAGTAATAGCAGTGTCAACACCGGAACCACCAGGTCAGATGTGAACAACCAGTACAGTAATAGCAGTGACATCACCGGAACTACCAGGTCAGATGTGAACAACCAGTCCAGTAATAGCAATGTCATCACCGGAACCACCAGGTCAGATGTGAACAACCAGTACAGTAATAGCAATGTCATCACCGGAACCACCAGGTCAGATGTGAACAACCAGTACAGTAATAGCAGTGACATCACCGGAACTACCAGGTCAGATGTGAACAACCAGTACAGTAATAGCAGTGTCATCACCGGAACCACCAGGTCAGATGTGAACAACCAGTACAGTAATAGCAGTGTCATCTCCGGAACCACCAGGTCAGATGTGAACAACCAGTACAGTAATAGCAGTGTCATCACCGGAGCCACCAGGTCAGATGTGAACAACCAGTACAGTAATAGCATTGTCATCACCGGAACCACCAGGTCAGATGTGAACAACCAGTCCAGTAATAGCAGTGTCATCACCGGAACCATCAGGTCAGATGTGAACAACCAGTACAGTGATAGCACTGACATCACCGGAACTACCAGGTCAGATGTGAACAACCAGTCCAGTAATAGCAATGTCATCACCGGAACCACCAGGTCAGATGTGAACAACCAGTACAGTAATAGCAGTGTCATCACCGGAACCATCAGGTCAGATGTGAACAACCAGTACAGTAATAGCAGTGACATCACCGGAACCACCAGGTGAGATGTGAACAACCAGTACAGTAATAGCAGTGTCATCACCGGAACCACCAGGTCAGATGTGAACAACCAGTACAGTAATAGCAGTGTCATCAGCGGAGCCGCCAGGTCAGATGTGAACAACCAGTACAGTAATAGCAGTGTCATCAGCGGAGCCACCAGGTCAGATGTGAACAACGAATATTCCACTGCCGATGTTCCATCGAACGAGGACAGGCTATACAGGTGATCAACACATTTAATGACAATGACCACCTGTAAATAATTCTAGCATTTTTAGCAACGCATATTTTTAAGTGTCGAAAAAACGTAATCTTTCTTTCTTTATCATTTTCGAATACACTGTATCTCTGATAGTGTTCGACTGTTCATTTTTATCTATAAATATATATATGTGTGTGTGTGTGTGTGTGTGTGTGTGTGTGTGTGTGTGTGTGTGTGTGTGTGTGTGTGTGTGTGTGTGTGTGTGTGTGTGTGTGTGTGTGTGTGTGTGTGTGTGTGTGTGTGTGTGAACAGTCTGGACATAAGAAAAAGGAAAATTAAGATCGTTCCAATTTACGTTACAAAACTATACTCCATTTTATAACTTGTCATTACAGATGTCTGACAGATACAGATGAATATATCACCGCCACATTTGATTCTACCGAACACATTGATTAAACAACCAGTAATATAATTTCAAAACGAGACGTGTACAGGAACACTGACTTAATGTTCAGAAAGAATAACTGAACTGAAAAAGTTCAAGCTTAACTCAACATACAGCATATTATATAGCGCCGTGAACATTAAACTGAATTTCAATTATGTCAACTCTCATGGATCCACAAAATTAAGATTACTGGTGCTTTCCTATCGGTGATCGGTAGTCAAGGATCATTGTCAACTCTGAATAAAAAAATTAGATTATTATTAACGGATGCAGATTGGTGAATAGAGATTTACAGATGAAAAAGATTGTCAGTTGAGATTAGTATTTGGAGAGTGATTGATTTCTATCGATAAAAGCAGAATGATAGATGGGCACTGGTAGTTCCAGAATGATAAGACCACCAAAGACAGCTACATGAGGTAAAATTTATTGAAAAGATGAAAATTTCAACGAAATCAACATTGAAAGAGAAAGTCATGCAGCATCCGATATTGGCATGACAGTTGTCCGAATTGTGGCTTGATAGCAAATCAAGCTTTCAAAATAATGGTCAAACGGTACACACATCGACAATCGCTCAAGTTCAAAGACACGTCTCAATAATAGCGTATATGAACACCCCCTTCTACAAGACACGCAAAAACTCTCCGGCGCACAGGAAAGAAAGTCAGTCGTCTGATGACATCACGTGGGATACATCGCCATTTTTCTTGAAGGTCCATGATCAGTTTTTGTCGGTTGGCTGAATCATGTGGTCGCCGTCGAACGCGACGATCCATGACATCCAAGAGGTCTTCTGGACATGGTTTGGGAGCGTACAGGCTACAGCATAACGTTGACGTTGTTGGCTGCAAAGACGTGAGAAGTACGGGCTGTATTTGGTCTGGCGTTGTCATGCTGAAAAAGGACCCCACGTGCAAGCTCTTGTAGAAATGGTAAGACAGTAGCGCGAGGAATGTCATCGATGTAACGCTAAGCTGTCGAATTTCCGTTAACGATGACCCGTGGTGCTCTCTACTGCCAACAAATTCCTCCCCACACCATAACACCCTCCCAACCAAACGGCATGCCCATCTGAATGCAACTCGCGCCGTTCGTTCTCCCCTTCGGTGGTTACCACGCTGTCGACCATCTGCTCCTAACAAACAGAACCGGCTTTCATCAGTGAAGACGACGCTCTGCCAGTCACGTCGCTGCCCACGACGTACAGTCCGGGCCCATCTCAATCTCTGACCACGATGTTGCGCTGTCATTAACCGTCCTCTGTTGATTGAGCCCTCAGTCGCCTGGCCATTGTATGTCGTCTAACCATATATCCCGAGACACTGTCACTGTCAGGAATCGATTCCAGTGATCCAAAGAAAGCAAATACCGGTCTTCATTGGACGATTCCCTGGATCTGCCTGTTTCTGGCCTGTAATATGTATTTCCGGTCTGTCTGTAACATTGCATCAGGTTAGTTACAGCAAGACGAGGGCAACCAAAAGATCCCATCCAATCTGTATCGTACCAAGGGCCCGCTCGTGGTGATCGGGTCTCAGTCGTGACATTTCTGAGGCGATTTATGTTATCAGAATGATGTTATGTTATGAGTGTCTGACATGCCGTTCGTAGGATTTATATTCCCTTATTTCACGTGTACTTTGGGCTGAACGAGCTGCACTTGTTATTCACTTTCTCCTGTTTTCATCAAATTTATCCTGATGTTGACATGTGTCACTTTCTGCATAGGACATTGCTGTGTTTGGACGATGTGTTTTGCATTGATTTGTTATGACTTTGTGTTTTTGAATTAATCCAATTTCGTTTTTAATGTGCTAAAATTTCTTTTGGCCTTCAGTTTATATTCGCTTTTTGTTAATACACTGCACGACCAAATACCCCAAACCCAACCCCTCCTCAAAGAGAATATATAAAAGGAATCAATAAAGAAAATAAGGAGGTTGATTGTAAGGATCAATAACGGTTTTTGAAAACACCATTTTCCATTTTTGCACGGGAGATTTTACTCCTATTTTCGCTTAAATGTTTAATATGACAAGTTTAACTGCATTAAAAAATCGTGGCGGGGACATGTATCACAGAGGATTGTTGTGTTTTGACAATTTGTTTTGCACTGATTTACTTTCATCTACTGTTTTTAATTTTTGGCAATTTCGTTTTTGTAAGTGGCAAAGTTCTTCCGGTCATCAGTTCAATTCTCACTTGTCTTGTGAAGTGATGGTGCAACTATAGATTACAGATTCCCTCATCATTTGATGTGATATTTTTGTTTTGACCAGTTCAATGTTTTTTGTGTGTAAGTAGACAGTTCAGTAGACTTGCTGCCCTGCATCTCTTGTCCCAAGTGAACAACTATTTTATGCGTGGAAAAGTATGAAATAGAGTTCGACAGCCTATCATTAAACAATACTATATTGACGACTGTTGAAACTCACTGTGTTAAATGTTAGCTAAACAATAGAGCACTCGTTCATGAATATAAAATGAATACATTCAGAGTGGAGGTACCCTGACATCATTGGGAACCTTAGAGGATCCTGAATTATTGGTGTTGATTAAATGTAATGGATTTGATTTGACATAATATTATCACCTTAGATAGTGTCACCTTTTCACACATTCATTTTGTGCCGTTGTAATAAACATTTCAATTCGTCAGGACTGATTTCCTTTCGGGTTGAGTTTTCGTTGATGTAATAGGTATCATATCTCAAACACATACAGGTATATATACTGTGATGTAATCATCGGAAATAGCCGCTTTGTACACAATGCAAAAGTAGGAAAAGTGTTTAAGATAACAATCTCATCAATAGCTGTGTTTCGGAATTCATGTGATTTCCTCCTATAATAAGGAAGTGACATAATATTATTATAGAGAACAATATTCACAGGAACTTGAAACTTCAGTTAATACATATGAACATATCATTACTGGACAGAGGGAATAACGTTAAATGACCGAGATGAGCTGGCTTTTCGATGTGATAGTCAGTTTGAGCCTAATTCGCATTTACAATTGGCAGGTGCCAACTGGATATGATAAAGGTTTCAGGGTGTGGTTGATCATTTGCATGCACTTTTAGAATAAAGTTTTTATTGAGACTCAAAGGTTGGACTAATGGTACAATGTAATTACTTTGTTTACACGTGTTCTTGACCCAGCAAAATCAAATAAACAACTTAAAGTTTCAGGTGAAGTCAACATAGAAACTTTGCAGATTTTAATACTTTAGGGCATACTTCATCAAAAATGCTTGACCAAAATTATTATAGACGAGAGACGAGAAAAAAACGACAGGCAAAATCGTTCCCCGAAACGAACAAATCCGCCACTGAGGGGATCCCGTTACTGGGCTTAAAACAAGAAACGCTGAGCAATTTCAACGATCATGACGATCGAAACGACGCCCGGTCTGCCTGCGTCTTTGTTAATACATTATATATGTTGCTGTTGGTCGTCCATTTGATTACAGTGTCCACAACTTATATCACCTCAGTAACAACACTCAGGATGTCTTCAGTTGTTTACTCAGGTTTTTAATCACTGACATGATTTATTGTGTAGAATAGAGCCGGGGACAGCTGGTGTTTCATTACTTAAACAGGATGTTAATAATATAACGCTTGTTACCGACATTGCTTCACTGAAATAGCATGATAACGCTTTGCAGACCATTGTGACGCCAGGCGATATCACGATGTCACTTTGAAATGACATCATCATCGCATATGACTCGGAATCAAGCGAACTGTTTTGTTTACTCTTAAAATTCTAGTTATTACTGTTCTCAAAATAAAAACGTTGGAAGAATTATTTTAGAAGACAAAGGCACGAAAGGCAAGCAAGACTTACAACCACGAAAGATAGCATGGCGTGTAGTCAAGAATTTAACGTTTTATATAATCAATATGAGACATGCCTCCATGATCGGTCACACATACACGGCGTGGCATGGTCCAAATCAATCTCCCATTTTGAGGGATTCTTGTCCACTCCTCTTGCAGCAGCTGCCCAGTTGGCTAACGTAGCGGTCGGCCTTTGCCGTCGGCGTATACGTCTCCTGATCATGTCCGAAACATACTGTATGGGGTAAAGGTCATTACAGACCCAACCCGAAATCTGACACATGGCTTTACGTTTACGTTCGCATGACGTATCTTTGGACGCTTCCAGACACGTCAACGCCTTTCCTAAAAGTCCAGAGGGAATTTGGTCTGGCCGGACAAGATGACAGGAAATCTTCAGCGAATTCGCCAGTTTCTACACTCTAAAGACCATGGACGTCTGACTGGATGCGTCGACCCGTTAACGGTGATACATCACGTGTTCACCGAGCATACAGATTAGCGAGGAGTGTTCAGCTGCATAGAAATATGTACATTGTTATCAATACGTCACACTCTGAAACTGACAAACCCGCTGCAGACACTAATTCGTGACATTACTTTTCCTAACCCTGAGAAGTGGGTGAGGGAGGGAGCATGGTTTAATCACGGCTTTCATAACCCTGATTAATTGTTACTGAATAACAGTATACTCATACATTCCTACATGATTGGAATATAAC